ATTCTCATCTATCATTCTGTTGTCATTTTGCGGTTCCAGCATAATTGAGCAATTGCAATCGTCCTCGCTGGTTGTTGCAGTTATGCTGCCCACTAACCTTGCATGTGCCGAAATTGCTAGTGACCATAATAATAGTGAATATATCAATATATATAATATAAATATATAGCTGCTCTTGTTCTTGGTTTGGCTTTGCTTGTGGCATTTCTTCTACAATGGTTGCTGTTTCTTGCTGCGCATTCCATGGAGTCACCTGGCAAAACAAATGTTCAAGTCCCTTGGCCTCTGGCTCCTCATCCAAGGGCAAGGAAATGAGATCTCCTTCAGCGATGGCAGGTTTGAGAACTGCATGCTTGGGAGGGGTCGCAGGACTGGACGAAACTATGACTGGAATGGACGAAACAAATCATTCCGTTCCCTACCACAGTTCATTCATGTTCGTTCTTGCGCACGGGTGTATCGGGTGTCGGTTGAGGTTAGCACAGTTCTAGAAGAGCGTCAGGATGACATCACGGTGCAGTCAATGAAAGGAACCCTAGCTGCTAGGCCTAGTGAGTTAATCGCTACAGTGGATCTGACCGAGAATCGCTTCAAAACGAAATCGAATAGATTGGGAAGGTGTCCGAGAACATAGCGATGGCCTCCAACCTACTAGGAATGGCCTCCAACTTACTAGCGATGGCCTCCAATCTACTAGGAATGGCCTCCAACCTAATTACTATATGTGATGGCCTCCAACCTACTAGTGGAGGTCCCGCTTGGGAAGTCGAATCATTCAATTCTTATTGTTACTAGTAGTAAGGCACTTGTTCCTAGTAGCTTCTTGTTACTACTAGTAAGGCACCTGTTACTACTAGCGTGGCACTTGTTACTGTCTCAACTGTGAGATGACGCAGATTCTGTGAAAGTCAGCTCCGCCTGCCTCGCCTGGGCCCACCGTTCTGCTTGAGCTATCGAACCGACTGCCATCGGCCTGGTGTGTTACCCATCGACCGGCGCTTGATACAATCCAAGGGAGTGGTGCTGGGTCGAATTGGAGAGGCACCGCCAGGCATGAATGATCAAATGGACCAGGCATGAAACTCATATATTGTTGATGCAATTGGACCAAGACTCAAATCATGCGTGGAAAAAAGATGCAAAAAGGGCTTCAAAAAGCTCACCGGACACTCATTTGTTGAAGTAAACGTCGCGACAAGGTCCTGAAACCTCAAACCACCTGCGAAAATAGCACATATTTAGATACGATACCCTTGAAACCCTTGCGCAGTTTCATTTCAAACAGCAATGTGGTGTCACATGATTTTCACCTTTGAAACATGTTCATGGCAGGTCTTTCATCTCTGCCTTTTTGAAACTGGACAGGTCGGTGGATGGCGTCCCCGAAGAGGACATGGTGTGGGCGAAGTAATTAGTTGGGAGTCCACCTGCTTGGACGTCTATGGAACAAAAACAAAGATCGAGTAGAACTCATCCCAAAAGGATTCAACCAAATAGACCAGCAGACTTCTACTTGGATACCTACTGCAGGGAGTGTTCTACTCATCCTCCCTTCGACTGTGATGTTGGCTTACTTTGCCAGCCAAATCTCCCAATTCGAAGATGCAGTGATGCGAACGAGACCGAGATGAACTGATCTGTAGGCTCTTTGGAAAAGAAATCAGTTTGACATATTCTGCATCGCTACTAGTAGCAAGGGCATCGCTACTAGCAGCTACTACCTCTAGCTACTACCTTAAGTTTCCCTAAAAATCTAGGAACCAAATCATTAGCGCGAGTTATTCCTGCATCCTAAGTAGTAGCTATTTAAACTACTAGCGACTCCCTCTATAGCTACTACCATCGCGGTCGACAAGGATCATCTTGGTCCTGGACTCCTGCGGATCCATCTGACCCATCACTCGCTGGGTACCTCCTCCAGCTCCAGCCAGGTGGCACAAAGCCTGACCTCACAGTGGCCGTTCGATCGTTGGGTTGGCTTTCGTTGCGAAGTGGGAAACGGATGGGTAGGTAGCGGGTTTTGCTTGATTCTGTGGCTCCCTCAAGTGTTTTTTTTCTCATGGAACATATTTTGACCCTGAAGAGATAGAATTTGTTTGTGCTGGTCTGTCCACAGTCACATGAAGGAGCATGTATGAAGCATCACATGGCTTGCTGTTGGCACTCCACTCAGGTTGCCATCTTCCATGTCGGACTTCAGATTGTTGGCATTTCAACCATCAATAGAACTCTTTGAATTCAGAAAGCATGCCATGAACCAACTCAACTTTGAATTCATGCTCAAGGATTGAGATTTTATCCTGTCATTGTATTTTTTTTCTTGAAAGACATCTTCTCTTTGCTTATTCTTGACAAGCGTGTACGAGCATCAACGATTCCAAAAAATCGACCCAACTCAACACCATCAAGTTCTTTATGTCACTCCTTGCAAAGGGTACCCCTATGCCCTATGCAACCTCAAGAACTCAATAGCAACCCTCCACTTCCGTGGAGCTAGCGTGTTTTCTCTTTTATTCTGATCTTCTTTATTCCATTCTTTAACTGATCAGCTGATTAATGAACCTAACTTTCTGAAATTAAGAAAATGACACACACCTTTCCAAGTCCCCAAAAATACGTACTCAAAGAGTCCTTTCAAATCCCTTTAAATGTCTTTTCTGTCTTCGGATTGCTTTCCAAAACGGTCTGAGACGTAACCCAGCATAATGACTTACACTCCACTTGCTCTTATGACGTGAAAAGCCAAACTCAAATAAGCCTGATAAAGACCTACAGGGGTGAAAGTTTACCGTTACAGAGTTACGTCATTGAGAAAATACCTTTTATATATAATGTAGAACTATAGAACCAATAAACACATGATGTTAACTACAGTATATATACATTAAACAAATATGCATGTTTGATTATGTTTGTATAAGCCTTTCATAAGATCCATTGAGTTCAAACCCACACGCTGGCACGACTTTTGAGATGACAGACTGCTCTTTTGACCCTCCGCTGTCAATGTCATTACAGGCTGGTAATGCTACACCAGGCAGCCATGCAATACAAACACGTATGCAATCCTGATTTTACCCAACAAACCTTTTAAAGCAAACGTACTGGGTCTGCAAAAACCAATGAAGCAAGGGCCCAATGGAGGGAACAATTGAGTGCACATGACTGAAACATCCTGAAACATTCTCTATGGAGAACAACGAGCGACTTCAACTGGGTTGCAACATTCTTTCACCGACATACTCATCCCCTCTGCCAACTGTCTGACGCCCAGCTGTGTCCCACAACCTCCTTGGCCAAATAGAGTGTTGTGCTTGTGAAGCCTCGGCCATCCAACACTTCAACCCTAGGAACAAGAAGCTATTAGGGGCTCCTGGCATCGCTACTAGGAGCAAGGACGCTACTAGGGGCTCCTGGCCTTACTACTAGGAGCAAGAAGCTATTAGGAACAAGAAGCACAACCCCAATCCGGAAGGTGCCCCGTCGGTGTATTCAATCTGTTTTTCAGATTCGCTTGCTCAAGCAAGGACTCGTGATCTCGATGACCAATTTCCTTTCCCCTGACCTTGATTGGGTTAAAAGCAAGCTGGTGACTTGTACATGCGTTCTTGTTAGCAAACCCAAACATGCATATTTGCTTGAGAAGCTGGTGCATATGGTGATTTCTCAGTGCTTGCTAGCTGTTGAAACAAAGGCAAACAGCAACATCCGACAGGAATTGAATCAAACGTCAGTTCTTTCTGTAGAGGGGCACTGCAGTGCAGGATTTCTTGTAGGACATTATCCCTTCAGCAGCGTGATACATCAACGGGTATGGTATGGCAGCTTAACCGAATAAGGGTTTTGTAACTACACAACTCTTAAAGCAATTTCTCAATTCCAAACTCTAAACAAAGCTAAACATCAACCTCCACTAGATTGTTTTTGACCACATGCAACACACACACGGCATTAGCAAAGCAGGTCACAAACCAGTGTGAAGAAGCACTTCGCATATCTGATATCTGTGAGTATTTCTCAAAATTAGGGGACCCCAACCAAACCCCAAGAACCAACGGGTGTTCAACTGCTTTGTTTGCGACCCAAGTTGTGGGGTGGCGGCCCCCGACATCACGGCAATCGCTCACAACTGCCAGCATCTCCAAGGCACCAGGTTGCTGTCGCATCAGCAAGCCCTGGTAGGACAGCAGGATGTCGCTTGGCTTAGCAAGGACGCTACTAGGGGCTCCTGGACTTACTACTAGGAGCAAAGGGCATCGCTACTAGGAGCAAGAACGCTACTAGGGGCTCCGGCCTTACTACTAGGAGCAAAGACGCTACTAGGAACAAAGGGCATCGCTACTAGGAGCAAGG